TTTAAATTAGCCCTACTGGCCTCGTTCTCCAGTACAAAATTCAAAAGAATACATTATCTCATAGGCAGCCATTTATGAAAGTGGTCTATGAGAGCTTGTTTTTATATCTCCTCTCGCCTTATTCAAAAAGAAAGGAGAGAGAAACCATAATATCCTTCCCCAAAACCTCCGATTTCACCCTCCTCCCTCCCTAATAAATAATAACTGGTCCCCTAGCTACATTTCCTGAATGCAAACATACTGATGTGCGAAGCGATCCGATAAGGTATGATGCGACTGGTCCACAGCCTTTTACGACCTCTTACTGCATTTCTCGACCTGTCTCCATTTAGAATGTATTCTTTCAACTTGGGATCCAGCTGAATATCACCTTGGTAGAATTGAGAAATTTTTCCTGGTGGGGTTTAGAAAGGTGTTTTGTTACTCATTAAAATTTACACTGAGTTGTTTCGAATAAGTATATGTATGATATTGGTTTGGAATTCAATTTGTGGGCTTACTAGGTGATATGTGGAAAAACAAACACACAAACAGAAATTAAAAGAAACATGGATTGAAACAAGGATATAAAAGAGTAAGTAAGCCATGGTGCATGGGGTAATTGCATTATAAAACAATTGGAAAAAGTAATGGAATCTTCTCCATAACAAAAAGGTCAAGGGATCCCCAACATCCTTGTGTTCCAAAGCTAATGTGTGAGTTACTTAAAAAAATTCTAGGCTAGTTTCTCGTTAATGCAAAAAAAAATTCTGCGAGCTTTCTGAAGAGATAGGAAAGATTAACTTCTTGGCCTGGCAAATACCATTGTTGGTTTCCTCGATTCTGTGAAACACGGTTCCTCCTGACTGAGCTCCTATGCTCCCTGTTTCTCTCTTCTTCCTGAGATGCGCCATGTTGACAGCTAAGATGCGACTATGTACTGTTTCATATTCTGAAATCAAAACAAAGCAAGATGTGGCAGTTTTCCCAGGCAGATCGCGATCGATAGTTTCTGCTGAGCCTTTTAGATTATAATTGTGATGTTCGTGTTTCCTGCAGCGTGCATGTAAGTCAGAATCACCGTCTTGGACAACAGTCTTTTGCCAAGAGCGTAAAAGCACGCGTATTTTTCGGTACTCAAAAAAGACTCA